CCGCCCCCAAACAAACAAACGAATAAACAAACAAAAAGCAACAACTCTCCTGATACCCTTTCCCCGTAATGACCGCTCTGGATTTCTGATAAAAAGATAAATAGGATCGACTCATGCTTTGAAAATGTCACAGTATTTCTATACGAAACCTAAACAACATTTCTTTTCATGAACACTACGACATTTCAAGTTGAATAAAATTCATATTTATTTGATACTGTTTTCAAATAACTCCAATATGACGACAATCAAAGTGTATGTTTCTGTAGTCTTTTAATTATTTTTTTACCTCATTTATCAACTATAAGATATCTCGTGTTTTCTTTAAAAGGGTAAATTTTCTATCTCCCCAGGATGGCAACAAAAGTATCGAAGATGAAGAGTTGCATGGATTCTTGAAAGACCTGATGGAACTCGTTCAAGAGGTAATTCTAAAAGCCTATTCAGATTCTATTATATATACAAGTCACATATTCCAGTGTTGCGGAATTATATTCACTGAACATATCACTATATACAACCTTTTGAAAAGACATGTTTTTGTGGCGAGTCTGTTAACACACAAAATCTAGAGATTTATCCCACCTACAGGGTTTGCCCAATTGTTATCCTCAATTGCTCAAAATTAAGACAACAAATGAAAACTCTCTCACACACAAACAAAAAAACACACAAACACTCAAACACACAAACAAACAAACAAACAAACAAACCCGGCCCTGCGTAACCACCAATTACTTAACACATGAAATCCTGTCTCTAATCTACAAAACCACAAACAAAATTACATTAAAACGCATCATAGACCCTTCTTCAACAAGCTATAATTAATTATTATAACACGTTTTCCCTTATCTCTTCTCTTTACTTCGTGAACTGTAACAACGGGCAGCGCATCTCTACTTCAGAACGCTGAAAGCTTTGCTTAGGGAAATTAATAACTGTGTCTATGGGGTGGTTCAGTGCAACTGCCAGCACGGGTGGTAGGAGGCACTTAAAACGAATTTGATATACATTAAAGAAATGCGGTCCATCTCCGTCCCTCCCCCTTCCAATTTCGAACTGTTTGACCTAGTGTGGTTTAGAAAGAGAATCCAAATGGGGGCAGATGGTATGTTTTACAGAAACAGGAACAAATGACTCTCATCGTCTTGGGAGTTATACATTACTTTTTACTACTGACCACGAATTTAATAGAAAATGGATGCAGTTTCAGTAGTCGGAGTACATATTTTACTTCCAGGGCGGTAACAAGAAAATTATAAGTATTCTTAATTCCATAATGCAGAAATAATTTTTTTAAATTTCAAAATTCACAGTGTTTTGTCAAAATGGACCCTTTAAAACAACAGCAGCAACAAAACCCTTGGCTCCAGCTGCAAGGATACGAAAATTCGAAAAGGCTTTAATGCTTTCTTTAAAAATAAGACCCAAAACCAAACAACAACAACAAGTAAACAAACAAACAATCACTACAACTACTCAGCCATTTTCAACTTCCTTCTTTGATTCATATTTCAATCTCTCTCTCTCTCTCTCTCTCTCTCTCTCTCTCTCTCT